TTTTATGTCTAAGTTGCTGTTAAACTCATTCTCTGAACTTTTTCCCACCAATCACATGTTTGTTTCATTTCTAGCAGTTCTGTTTGTTGTTGTTGCTGTCATTTGGAAATATCCCTGAGCATTTTTGAGGATATCTTACTGCTTGCTATTTTTTGTGATTCCATCTTTTGTTTCTTTGGAGATTTCATACATAGTTAACCTATATTCCATACCTGATGACTACAGTGCTGAAAGTCCTTGGGAGTAGATATAAATCTCTATCTCCCACTCCCTTTCTCTCCCTACTCCTTCTCCTGTAAGTCACATTTCCTTATATTTTTGTGACCCTTTTGAGCTTGTACTTGATTAATATTTATCATTGGGTATCTGGAGCATTCTACATCTAGAATGCTGTTCTGCAGAGCTGAAGAGGTTATTTTCTTCACAGGCATGTGCTTTAATGTGGGAACACCTGAGGTACAGGGGTGCACCATGCTGCTGGCCCAGTACATTGTCTTTCTTTCCAGTGCTGGTACTGGTATTGGCCCTTAGACCAAACTCTCTCTCTCTCTTTTTTTTTTTTTTTTGCTCTCATTTGCTACTTACTTATCCCTGCTCAAATTTCAACTCACTTTTTGCTATATATTTAAATTTAAAAAGTAAATGTGTGTTTAGAGAATATTTTACCCTTGTTCATTCATGAGTGAGACAGCATATGGCTGTCTTGAGCCTCAGATGTGACAATAAAAGCTAAATTCTTTTAGCACCTTCATGTGCTACGATCAAAGTACACCATTTTATTTGACATGTGTGGTCTACAGCCGCAGATCAACACAAATAGTCTCAACCTATCTGAAGTAAAAAGTTCAAAGGGTTTTGTGGACTGATGTCAATGTCAGTTCATTGGTCTAATCAAGGTCCCCGTGAAGCTGGCAGAGAATAGTGACCTAGTTCCACCTCATGAACTAGTGCCCAGGGAAATGGAGAGGGGAATTTGTGATACAATCTTTAAAAAGGCAGGTATGGGAAAGAAGCTTGGCATGACCCCAGATTTGAATCTGTATTCTGTACTGATCTGCTTTCACTATGTACATGGAGGGCACGTGTGCCTAAATTTTACTATGGTGAAAACAGTAGCTCCCAGAAGTGGCATTTTCTTTTGTCTTTAGTGTATCATTAGGGCTGCTACCTCTCCTGAGTTAGGGACTCTCATCCTTGTATCAGCATACACACTGTCCAGCATGCCACTCCCACAAACTGTTCCTTCCTCCCCAGCTATTCTGTCTGCAACAGACACAGTTCCATGTCTCATGACTTTGGTGGGCGGAAGCTGCCTGGAGGGTCCTACTACCTCCCAGGTCCTTGCTTCCCTGCCAGTGTCTGGGCATCACCACCACACATTCTGTCCCATTCAGGAGGGTATGTGGTTCAACCTCTCTAAGAATGACCACTCTCCCCACCTCACCGCTCATCACAGAGCCTCAGGCTGTCCACCTTGGAGGAAGGTGCCTTCCCTTTCTTCTCACCAGGAAGAGTGTGCATGCCACATGACATCCAGACATCTCAAGGCTAGTTAAGGAAAATTCACAGCATAGCTCCAGTTCAAAGCACTGAAATCCCATGCTCTGTAGTAGCAAAACACAAATCTGTATGAGTTGGACTGTTCCAAGAGAATCACTGGGAAAAAGTATTCTAGGGCCTATGTAGACATGCCTGAGGCCATTGACACTGAGGTTGGAAGGCAGCAACCCTGAGAGACATTGAAAAGACCAGACTTCACTCTTCCCCTCTCTGGGCACCTGTGCAACAAACCTGGTGGGTGTGTGGGGCAGAGGGGCACTTTCCTGAGAAATGGGGAGCTAAAAAGAGAAGCTGCTCTAGCCTCCAAACCATGTTTTCCATATTTTTTATTAAAAGTAGCCTAGCCCAGCCAAGGATCTGACCGCAGCCAGCAAACACCTCACAGTTGCTGGCTGTTAATGTCACCAAGCTTGGTCTTTGCCACCTACAGCTGTTGGGCCTGTGGGTTTCCCTTCTGTGCCCTCATTTCCTGCCAGCTGCCTCGGGGCTGTTCAGGCCGCATGCCCGCAGCCAGTCCCTGTGTCTGCCATCCTTAGAGTGTGCTCACAGGGTAGTTGTTACCCTGTTGTCCTGGGAACTGGCCAGGCTGTCTGGCTGGTGCTACAGGAGGGAGACTGTCCTCTGGGAACTGTGTGTGTCTTTGCAGCAGTCACTTGTCCAAAATCAAAGCCACTCTATTTCCACCTGTACCAGCTCTCTTTTTATACCATTTTTATTATGAAGTATAAAACACACAAAAGAAAAAACACACACACACAAAAGAGTATGTCACTTTGTCTGAGCATCTTAATGAATAATTATAGTGCCAACACCACTGGAGTCAAGAAAGAAAACACCAACATCTCAGCAGGTCCCTATTCACACCCCACCCCTGGAGGACACCACTTCCTGGGCTCTGTGTCCAGCATGCCCTCACTTTCTTCTTCTTCTTCCTGTTTTAGTTGTTGTTTTTTTTTATGTTATCACCTTAAGACCTGTACACATCTGAACAAAACCACTTCCTTTTGCCTGTTCGGGAACTTTTTGTATGTGGAATCCTGAGGAGGTTTTATGTTCACAAAAGTCATTTTTTCTTTGTATCACTGCTGTTTGTTCATTTTTTTGTCCTGTGGCATTCCTTTTTATGAATATCTCACAATTTATTTACTCACTCTGAAGTCAGCCAACATTCAGGTTTAATATTTTTGGTGATCACAGATAAAACTGCTGTAAACATCCAAGAATACTTTCAGGATGCAGAGTACACAAATTTGGTATAGCTGGAAGTGGATTGCTGACTCACAAGGGGTGAATAGATTAGAATTCAGTAGAAAATTCCGAATTGTTTTCCAAAATGGTTAGATTCACACTCCCACTGGCTGTATACAGAGGATTCTGTGGCCCCCATTCTCGCCAACACTTAATTAAGTCTTTTAATGTTTTCCATGTGGAACACTATACCATGCTTCTGTTTTCCAGTGTGGTCTTAATTGGCATTTCCCAGATTTCTAATGAAGTGACTGTAACCATGTTCCTGGGAAATCTGTGATTCTCTGCCTCAGTTTTATAATGAGAAAAAGTCAGTGAAGGTACAAGACAAGATGGAGTGGTGGAAATTGGACATAAACCTGAAACACAGAGTTCAGGTCCCATTTACTGTTCTACAACTCTGAGGTCAAAGATGTGAAGGACTGTAAATCAAGGACAGTGACATTTGGAATGGCCTGTGAACTTAATGCTCCCATTATCCTTTTGTGTGTATATGTATAGATTCTTAATGGTTAGTATTAAGAATTTACATAGTTTCCTATACTTGCAAACTATCATATTTGTTTTTCACTAATGCTTATGTATTATAATAAACAAAATTTAAGTAGTGCCATATTCCACATTACAAAATGGACTCAGTTCTCCCCCATATACAAATGTTTTGCCTTTTCTGTATGGTTGGTTCTTAGTTTGATAGCGACCAACTGGCCTTCATAGGCCATGTTACCAGGAAGTGTAGCTTATGCTTCAGGGTGCTGGTGACCCCTCAGGTTCGGGAGCAAGGAGCTGTTGTCACAGTGCAGAGGTTTCAGAACCGGCCCTTGCTGATGCTCAGGAGGGCCTGTGCACATCCCTCCACTCAGACCAGCTGCCTTGAGCCATGAGGTGTGCAGGGAACCTGCCTGTTATACACAGACAAGCACAACTTGATAAGAACTTTATTTTTAAAACAAAATTCCCATCTCATACAACACAGCTTAGCTCTCCAGCCTTTGGTTAGCTTTTTGAGACAAACCTACAAGACTGAGGACAGGAAAGTGTGACCATACCTATTTCCAAAGCCTGTCTCATGTGACCCTGTACTGCTGACCTCTTGCAGCTGGGAGGAGTCATCACAAATGCCCCCCAAATGCAGAAGTTCCTGGCAGGTTGGCACATTTGAACTCTTCCCCAAATATAGTACATTTGAACACTTAATATTTGGGGCCTCAGTTCCCTCATTTTAGAAAATGTCGGGGTTGACAGCTTTCTAGTACCTCCAGGATATACCCTTTCTCAGATCTCATGATCCAAAGGGCTCAAGTTGCTAGAAAGGGAAAATGGGCTGAGGATGACTGTGACTAAGCAGCTAAACTGCTTAGGGGTCACACTTATTCTGTGCCTTTGCAGCACCCCCACCTGGCTTTCCCAGCAAGCCTCTCTCTTCCCTGTAGGTAGAAGTCCCCCTTCTTGTGCACTTTAGTGTGTGTTCCCTTCTGGTTCTTGGACTCACAGTTCTCATTCCCTGGGATAAGGTGAGGGGGTATCTCCCATTGACCCCACCAGGCTATGGAATCAGAACCAGGGCAGTCAGCTCAGCCCAGCACAGCTCTGATTTTGCCTGCCGTTCAACTCTCAGTGGATGACGTTTTCTTTCTTAATGACTTCATCTCACTGTGTCATATGCAATAGTAGTTTAAATCCCAACCCTGCCCCCCACCCTACAGAAGGGAGAGCAGGCCCTGGAAGTGGGAGCTCTAAAACCTGTCCATCTGTGGTCCAGGAGTTCCTAGTTAGAATGCCCTTGAAACACCCGCACCTTGTACTTCCTGGGCTGGGAACAGCACTGGCTGGGACTCTGACCTCAGGGAAGAAAGGAGGCAAATCAGAGAGTTCCATAGACCCCCCACTGAGCCAGCTCCAGGGTCCTGTAAGTCTCAGGTGCTGGTACCCCAAGAGGGGCTGCTGCCCCAGGAGAGCCTCGGCTTCTCCTGATGCCCAGCCAGGGCTTCTTGCTCCGTTGCAACCCAGCTCCAGGCCATAGAATTTTCCTGTCCTGAGCTCTTGGTATCATTAAGCTGTGACTGGGGCCTCACTGGTCATGGTGGACAAAGCCCTTGACCCTGAGATGGGGACACCATGGCCAGCAGCCTGCTCAGGGTGCTTCTGGTGGGGGATGGGATTGGGAATGATTGACTCTTCCTGTCTTCTAGGATCAGGGCCAGGGACAACAATGGGTCCTATGCCCTGTGCCTGCTACACGAGGGCAAAGTGCTGCACTACCGCATCGACAAGGACAAGACAGGGAAGCTCTCCATCCCGGATGGCAAGAAGTTTGACACGCTCTGGCAGGTACGCACAACCCTGGGAAATCAGGGTCACAGGACCCTTGGAGCCCTTTAGAGAAACCCTCCTAGGTCCCTACCTGAGACCTGCCCAACCAGAACCTGCTCTTCACTGTGTAGGTGTCACATACCAATGTCCACATTTAAGAAGTACTGGTCTAGTCATCATGTTTGGTTAATGAGGCTCCAGAAGGTTCTGTATCTTCTCCAGGGCCAGTCAGGACTTGGAACCTCAGGGTGGTGCCACTCAAGGCTGTGTTCAGAGTTAACAGGAACCCTGTACTGGGGACTAGAAAATAGCCTTTAAGACAAATACACACTAGAAAACTGTACTTGAAAAATAATTAAATTTTAAAAAGGGAAAAAAAGACAAATACACACAAAGGTGTGTTTGGCTGGGGAGAAGGGGTGGAGATGGCCAGTCATACTGTCTTTAAGCAGTGAGAGGCTGAGTTGAATATAAAATGTTGAGGGGCATTCTTGCCGCAAAATGAGTCTCCACTGAAAGTAAGACGACAACTTAGGAAGTAAGGCAGCACTTCCTGTGCTCCCACCACCCCCTGCACGGACTGTTCCACTCTGCTCTGAAGTGTTTATTCTTGATCCAACTATCAATAATCCTGAAACAGCTCAAAATTTGAAAGTTGCTGTAGTAGAGTGAGCACTAAACCCATGCTCACCACTGGTTTCCATGGGGCTGTCACAGGTTAAGTGGCTTGTCTTCTTTTAAATCACAGGCTTTGTGCAGAAATGAAACCACTGTCCATGACATTTTACCAAAGGGTCCTATATACCACAGTGGGGCAGAGACAGAGAAAACCAAGAGACTCTGCCACCCAGAAAGCAACAACTACATTGAGCTTTTGTGAGTGAGGGATGTGTGCAAACATCCACACCCAGGTCTGGCCAGGAACCTCATATGTGGTAACAGGAGGAAAGGTCCCAACTCAATACTGAGATGTACTTAGAGTAACCACCACCAATAATTTATTTTGGTTCCTAATGCTATAGTGAGTAAAAGAAATGCTTTATTCCAAATGCTGCAAATTACAATATTATTTTTATCAGTTATAACACTGACCTTGTCTTTTGGTTTGTAGCTCATTAGCGTATAGCTAATTATCAACCACAGACTTTGCTTTATTTTAATGATATTGATTTGAGAGCATTCAGCCTATCAAATACTCCACTGAAAATTTAGAGAGATGAGTAGAGAATGCAGCCTGGAAGCATTAACTTCTCACCAAAGTCTCTTGACTCTTATATGATATGTTGATGGTGTGCATTTAAAGGCTCCAAGGCTCTTGGTTCCATCACCTGTGTAGCCATCCAGCTTCTCCCCAGTTGTGGTTTTTCTCCTGGGAATCCACTCACAGTTTCATAGTCTGTGTGTACCTACAGTGCCAAACATCACTAGTTGTTAGAAAGTTCCTTCCCAAGACTTTGTCCCATGTGTATTCATTTCTCTGGCATATTATAGTATTCAGGTCTAATTAAGTTCTTCACACTGTATATTTTCTAGCCACTGTGTTTAAAAAAGAACATAAAAATAGTAGAAGTAACTTTCATTTTTACAGATGTGATTTCGTGTGTTTTTCTCAACAGCAGTGTAAGGCACCTGTGTGCCCTGGCCCCACCCACTCTGCTGCTATTTTTTTCTGAGAGTTGGTAATTATTACAATAGCCTTCCTTCCTTTGGTGCACAGGAGCTGAATCTGGCCCCTGGCTGGTTTTGTATAGTCCTTGAGGAAAGTGGCTTTTATATATTAAAGGATTGTTTTAAATAAAGGACTGTGTAACAGAGATAGTGTGTGGCCTGAAAAAGCCTAAAATTGCACTCTTTGGTCCTTTACAAAAGAGTTTGCAGACCCCTGTTTAAGTGGGAAATCCCTACATGTACACCCACCTCCCAGCCACCCTTGTGGGATAGATTGTTTTTTTTTATAAAGAGATTTTATTTATTTATTTATCTTTAGAGGGGAAGGAGAGAGGGAGAGAAACATTAATGTATGGTTGCCTTTTGTGCATCCCCTGCTAGGAACTGGCCTGCAGGGAACCGGTCTGCAACCCAGGAATATGCCCTGACTAGGAATCGAACTGTGATCCTCTGGTTTGCAGGCCTGTGCTCAATCCACTGAGCTACACCAGCCAGGGCTTGGCTAGATTGTTTAAAAACACAAGCACTGAAGGAGATTTTTGAATGACTCTGGAGAAGTGGATGAGATGTCTCACCTGTTTTAGGGACCTCAATATTACTGGCCTGAGAACATACTACTGCATTTAACAGAACGGGGAAAGCTTGGGGATCCATTCTAGTAGCAAGTTAGGGCTGATCATGACTGCAACATTTGTTATGAGGGTAGATATCATGTTATAGTCTAACCACAATAATTAAAATTTTGAGAAAAGAATGTTACCTGGAAGGGTAAAATATATTCATTCAACAAACATTCACACAAGTAGGTAAGTTTTGGGACTGGAAAAAGTACCAATAAACAGACAAGGGAAGATATCAGATATGAATATTTTAGATTGTCTGAAGAGAAAGTATCTGTTATGAGAAAAATATTGCATAATTTTGATAAGATATAAATAAATCTATTTGCCACTAATTTATTTTTAATGTAGAAATTAAACATCATAATCATAGTTTTCTGGGAGCCATTAGCCAAAGATGTCCATGCCCTGTGGATACAAGGTTATTTTCCAAGAGGTGACCTTCCCCTATGTCCCAAGCTCCTATGTCACCTGTGCTGTAATGTCTTTTCTCTGAAACTTTTGGGCTGAATGACTTGGTCCCTCCAAAGCCTTTGCCCATGGCACTGTAATAAGCATTTATCTGTCTCTCCACCCAGAAAGTAAGCACTTCCAGGGCAGGAAATATGTGTTATTCACCTGAGTTTACCTTGTCCTCACCCAGGGCCTAGGGAAGCAAAATGTTCGTTGGATGACTGAATGCTGAGTTCACCTCCATAATCTCACACAGACATAGGTAGGAGAATACAAACAAATACTGTAAATGCAACTTGCTACCTAAAAAGAAAGAGTGAGACAGAAACAGAGAGAGAGCAGATAGAGAAAGACAGAGAGAGAAGGGGTGAGCGGAGAGTGGAGTGGGATTTTGAAGGAAAGGTAGTATGTGGACTTCTGTCCTAAGTCTGAGAGTGGGACGAGAGACGTCAGAGGGATCAGACAGACCAACAAGAAAATCGTGGGCTGTCCTTGTGGTTAAAGGTTGTCCTTGAATCACTTTTAAAGTTCAAAAGAAGAGTCAACTGCTCCAGGTAGGATTCCTTTTCCTGCCTTGTTATTTATTGCACTTTCTTACTTTCTTCTCTTTCAGCTAGTCGAACATTATTCTTATAAACCAGATGGTTTGTTAAGAGTTCTTACAGTTCCATGTCAAAAAATTGGTGGGCAAACAGGTGAGTCACTATGACATTGGAATCTCAGTCTTTTAGAGAATAACAATAACCTGATAGTAATTAGCCTTGTTTTAGATTTGGCCTGTTGCAATTCAGGTGAGAGGAGGGCTTGTTTGTACTAATTGATTATGAGTGTCAGATTGCTCCAATTCTATATAATATCGTTGATCAAAAAATAGCTGCTTATGTTAAAAAACTAGTGCTAAAGGGGAGGGATTTGGAGGAACAAGTATGAAGGACACAGGGATGAGGACTAGGAGGGAAGGAAATGGGAGGGAGGTGGGGAGCACGGGGTGGGGGGGCTGGGGTGGGAGAAATAGACAAAAAACTATACTTGAAAAATAACTAAATAAAAATATGTAAAGAACAGTGTCTTCTAAAATCTGAAACACTAATTCAAAAGGAAAAAAAACTAGTGCTGATTGCATGGTGAGAAAGTTGAGTAAAACAATAAAAAGAAATGTATGAAGAAACTATACCTGCTTTTCAAGAAGCAGGATTTTATAATCGCATTGATTGATCTGCTTTGGGAAGGGGGTAGGTGATGCTTTTCACTGATAGGGCAGTAATCATCCCCCTTTCTCACCAGGAAATAATTTTGGAAGTCGTCCGCAACTTCCAAGTTCCCATCCAGGGGTAAGTGTTACTAGAAGTACCTCTGAAGGTAAAGCAGTTGTGTGTTAGTGAAATGGAAAGCATGTTTTGGCTAACAGGAGTAGTGGTGATTATTGTTTTATCAGACTTGATAAACTGGTATTGCTGATGTCAGCTAGCATCAGCCTGATTCTAGTTCCAAGTTAACCAAGTTAACTTTTTTTGTAGGTTAAATTCTCTCCATTTGCTAAAAGTATATAAAATGACCATGAAACCCAATGTTAACTCAGAAATATGCTTCATGGCAGATTTCAAGCTCAGTCTTGAAGCCCTTGTGTGGGCACATGAGCATGATCAACATGACCTTGGTTGGTACAACAACCAAGGTCTGGCATTATAACATCTCAGTGATGTTTTCTGCCCAATTTGTTTGGTTAAATCAACCAAGACATTGTTATTAGGGGTGTTGCCCTTTTGAGGAGAGCTGGCTTGAGAGTAGTGTGGCCAAGGAAGGCTAAGGAAAGGGTAACATCAGAGAGGAGCCCTAGAGAAGTGTAGATTCGGGCACTAGGTCAGAACCCACCTCCCCTGCCCTGTCAGCAGGAGGTAAGAATGTGGCCCATCCATACTTCTCCATGCAGGTTTGCCCAAAGTGTGCCTGGTGCCCCTACAGAGAGAGGATCCCAGGCCTTCCTCACTCCGATAGTGATGCACTGCCGCACGGTTTTAGACTCAAAGCATGATTTGGTTTTCTGCTCCTCCCGGAGGACCTCACTGTGGATCTTCAGTTCCCATTCATGCCATCCATGAAGTGTAGCAATTACCTCTCTATGGGCTGTGTGCTCTACACTTCACTTTTTGTCTACTAGCCCTTAAAGTCTGCAGAGAGCAGAATGCACTTTCTGGCCCCATGGAGACCAGGGACTGCTCAGGAGCTGTGCCCTGTGTTGAAACTGGGGTCTCTCCAGGAGCAGCACCTGTCACCAGTTTGGGGGACCTGGAATTTGCTAAACTGTCAGTGAACTTTAGGATCGATGTCTAAGATATGACACTTTTAAGGGGTCATTTTATTTTACTCTTTTCATGGCTCTTGGGCCTGTCAGCTCTACATGTGTGTGCCTAGAAACTGATTTTTTGTCCTCAAGGATAAATTGGTGCTGATAACTAAAACAATACCAAGCCCTATATTTAGCCATCTATCACCTACTGGCTCCAAGAAGTTAGGGGTTTTTTTTAGGGTTTTTTTAGAACAATTTTTTTATGGACAGATGAGATATATACAGAAAAAATAAATGAATGTGCCCTAAGTGTTTAACTCAGTGAATTCCCACAAGCACATGGGACTGTAACCTTGAACAACTAAAAAAAAAAAAAGAGCAAATTATCTTTTAGTTTCTTCACAATGATTTATTTGAGTTTAAGACTTAATAATTCTCTATGCATCATAGTCCATTTAATGTAACAGCTCTAGTTTTATAGCCTATTGTGGGAAATAGCACTCAAATGCTCTTCTAGGTCCTCCTGCTCAGGTGCTCAACTTTCCTTGAAATATTCCTAATGATCAACTGAGTCACATCAGCAAAAGCTGGAGGGTTTGGTGTTATGATTATAAAGCCAGTTAAAACAGCATGTTATATACCTAGCCTTATTTGTTTTCTAAAACATTTACTGTTCCTCTTTGCCATTATGGTTTCTAGACTTGGTCAGCGGGTGGAATAATCTCAAGAATCAAATCATACTCCTTCCCAAAGCCTGGCCACAGAAAGGTGCTAAAACATCCCCTGCTTGCTGTCCCCAAGTAGCAGGACTGACCCGCACTCAGCACTTGTGCTCCGCCCGCTAGCTGCCCTCCATGTGCGCTGCCCTGCCCTTCCTGCTGCTCTGGCCCCACGTCTCTGCCATGTGTAGCCCTCATGGGTAGCCCACCTGGGCATACACTGTGCTTTCCATGTGGGTCCTGGCCACTTTGCTGCAAAGTCCATACTATGCACATGCTATCTCTGCTGACGCGTGCTTGAAAGTCAACTCAGTCAGCATGATAAGTGGGAGCTGATTCTCATGTTGGAAAGTCTTTTACAAGTGAGACAAGTTACTTTAGAGTTGCCAGAATTGTGTGTTGCAGTATTATGGTAACTAATGATATAAATCACGTTGGTGGATGAAACACCAAGGTTTTGTGAGTACTGCACAGTGAAGGCCTAAGTGTGTATATTTCCTAAAGTGCTTCAATAACTTCATTATGGCTGTAAATTTCCAGCACCAAACTTTAAATATAACATATATAAAGATGGGATGGAATTGTAGGATTAGAAATAACCATTTTGCTGACATGGAAGAGGTGAAACAAAAAATGGCAGAAGCACTAAAATCGACCAAAATTAATCAATTCAAAACCTGTTTTGAGCAGTGGAAAAAACATGTCTTGATAGGTGTATTGCATCAGATGGAAAGTACTTTGAAGATGACTGAAGTTTAAACATGTCAGAATAAATACATAATTTTTAATAAATAAATTCTGAGTATTTGGAGATGTCTGCTCATAAAAGCATAAAAGCCCTGAAATCTTGTTTAGTAAAAATTTTCCAAGAGGGCAGTCATACTCAAGACATTCTCAGTCTTAGTGGCCATAGAACATAGACCATACAGAAGTGAATTTAAGGTAATGTTTGAGGGGAAAGTAATGTGATAAACCTGAATAATAATTTTATTCTAATGTTGCACTCCCAGTCAGTATGGATCAGCCCACAAAAGGGTCACTTCTGGTAGTGACAATGAGGGCTGCCCATAAGAGGGCTGCATGTTAGGAGTAGAGAACCAGGTTGTCAAGATGATACATTCTCTATGTCAGTGTTCCTTTTGCTCCACAATTTGATTTTTGTTTCAATATCAGGGCCAGGAGGTGACCAAGACTTTAAACTTAGAAAGGTCCACGTTTCCCATGATCCAAGGCAAACCCCTCAACTTCTGCCACCTCTAGCCCACCTGGCCTGGCCTCCTGTCAGCATTTGCCTCTTCCCTGGGAGAGGGCTCCACTCGGTGCCAGGATGGCACCTGATAGGACTATAATCCAGTAGAAAATAGGCCAGATGGAGCCCCATCAACTAAGATGATTCAAAGTGTATTCTGATTTATGGTGCTTTGCTGTTATAAATAATCCTTTCAAGGTTATGATCACAAATTCAGTTCACATTAGTGACTTTCCACTATGGTGTGGCAGTCAAACTCAAGATACTAGAGTTGTTAATCAAATGCTGCTTTGACAAAGCTTCACAGAATGACACAGGGCAAGACACACAATGTGGCTGGTGTCCCATCAGCAGCCTCAAAACCACTCGCTCCCCCAACTTTTTTGGCCAGTCCATTCACAGGGTCTGCCTGGCAGCCACAGAGAAGCCCACTGTGGATGAGGGCCACACCTCCAGTTAGTACCCCTGTTTATTCATTATGCTCTTCATAATGACCCAAAGCCTGTGTGCCAATGTCCCCCAGCTCAGGTGCAGTCCAGAGGTGAGCAGTTTCACTGTGAACAAAGTAGGCACAGCATTCCACATTTATCTTAATTCTGTGGTTTGCAGGTATATCATCATTGAGTTCAACCAGGGGAGCATGACCAGTCAAAGATTTATACATAAAACAGATATGCCCTCACATATACATACAGGTACATATATAATACATACATGTACATGCATAACAGTACCCACATGCACATATATGTGTAATATATGCATATATATATCAACACACACATATATAGATTTAACACAAGAACTTACCTTACACAGTTGCAGGGGCTAGATAAGCAGGCCATGAGGAAGGGACAATCAGGGCAGGATGGGACCCCTCAGGCACAACTGAAAGTGTCACCCACAGCCAGGGATCAGCTGTGCCCCTCCCTGCCTTTTTCTCTCTCAGACAGCTGCAATTCTTTTCTAAGGACTCTCAGCTGGGTAAGCCAGGCTCACCCAAAATAATCAACTAATTTAAATCAACAACTTAGGGATTTTAATTACATCTGCAAAATCCCTTGCCAGCAAACTCAAGATCATGGTCTGATGCAAAAATGGACTTCAGCTCAGGCTAGCCAGGTGGACATATAAAGAAGCTGGGATTGTGAGGAGACGAGCCCTTCTCCCACCCCATCATTGTCCCAGGCTGGCTGAAGCCAGCTCATGTTACTCACATTGACCAAAGTAAAATCTAGTAAGTGAGTTTTAATAGGTCTTTAGAGTAAAGTACAACATGTCTAAAGAAAGTTGAAGAAAATATTAGTAAGGCTACATAAAAATAAGGAATTGTGGATAAGAATCGTAACATCAGCAAAACAAATAATAAACTGGCAGTATTGTAATAATGATATGTGTAAGATTACTATCTTTAATATATAAGAGTCTAAAATCAATAAAAGTTTTAACTCTTTAACAGGGTATTGGACAGAAAATGTCAGTAGGTCGATTATAGTAAAGCAAATATAAATAAACATAGGTAAAGATGTTCCATTTTCTAATAAGATATGCAAGTTAAAACTGTGGTCCTCTGTTAAGCCCACCTGTGAAACTGAACCCAACTAAAACAGCACAGCATCACAAAGGGCGGCGGAGGTGTGGTAAACAAGCATTTCCACACTTTGTTGGACTGTGAAATGATGCCGTCTCTCAGAACGGTATTTTCATATACCCATGTAAATTAAAAGCACATATAACTTAGTTACGCCAAGATGGAGACATAGGTGGAGACGTCGTGCTTTCTCACACAACCAAGTTTAGAGACAACTAAATATTAGCAACAGAAGACACAGCCAGAACACAGAAAATTAAACTTTTTGGAAGTCTGATAACAACAAATTCTTCAGCCTGACCAGTAAGAGGAGCGAAACCAGCAGCTGGTGGAGCGGGGTTGCACAGGAAAACTCGGTCAGACAGATTCAGGCACGCAGAACCCAGGCACAGGGTTGGACCTAGTGAGCGACCCAGCCAGCGACCCTGGGGAAACAGCGAGGGAGCAGGGCAGCGGGTTGACGTGCATTCGTGTGCAGATAGACCAGCGAGGGAGTGGGCGATTAGACAGGACTCAGTAGGCCCCCGCAGCAAGCGGCAGCAGAGGGCGCCACCATTTCCCTGCTCTGACCCCTCCTCCACATACAGCATCATAACCCAGCGACCTGAATGGCCCTGCCCAGGTGAACCACCTAAGGCTCTGCTCACCCAGCGGCGCGAAAAACAGCAGAGGGGGTCGCCATTTCCCCACTCTGACCACGCCCCCACATATAGCGTCACAACCCAGCGACCTGGGAGTCCAAGGCTCTGCTCCTCATACTTAATGGGCATGAACAGACCAAAAATGGCTCAAGAAGATCTCAAAGCCCCAGAGCCCATAAATCTAAGCGATGAAGAAATAGCAAAACTCTCAGACGCACAGTTTAAAACACTGGTCATCAGGATCCTCACAGAACTGGTTGATTATAGCCACAAATTAGAGAAACATATGAAGGCGAAACTAATTGAAATGAATGGAATTGCACAGGACACCAATAGCGATGAAAAGGAAACTGGGACTCAAATCAATGGAGTGGACCAGAAGAAAGCAAATAATGGCCAAACAGAAAAGAGTGAAGAAGCAAGAATTCAAAAAAATGAGGAAAGTCTTAGGAACCTCCAGGACATCTTTAAACGCTCCAACATCCGAATTATAGGGCTACCAGAAGGGGGAAAGGAACAGCCACCAGTGGAAAACTTATTTGAACAAGTAATAAAGGAAAATTTCCCCAATCTGGCAAAGGAAATAGACTTCCAGGAAATCTAGGAAGCTCAGAGAGTCCCAAAGAAGTCGGACCCAAGAAGGAACACACTCGGACCCAAGAAGGAACACACCAAGGCACATCATCATTACATTAGCCAAGATTAAAATGAAGGAGAGAATCCTAGAAGCAGCGAGAGATAAGGAGACAGTCACCTACAAAGGAGTTCCCATCAGACTGTCAGCGAATTTCTCAAAAGAGACCTTACAGGCAAGAAGGGGCTGGAAAGAGGTATTCCAAGTCATGAAATCTAAAGACCTACAACCAAGATTGCTCTATCTAGCAAAACTTTCATTTAGAATGGAAGGACAGATAAAGTGCTTCTCAGATTTTTTCTCTTGTGTTAACTTCTGAATCCCCACTTCTTAAAAGTAGGCACTCAATGAATATTTGTCAAATACATTTTCTACTTGCAGTTGACCCTGGAAAAAAAGAGATTTGTAATTATAATTTATAACATAACCTAATTTATATTTTGTTATGGTGGAGTGATCTGTTTTTACCAGAATTTATAAAACTTGAAAACCACAACTTGTTCTTTGCAAGGTAGAAAGCTAAGGTAGCTAGTGCCATCTAGTGGTATCCTGCCAATTTGACTTGTTTTGAGTATTAGCAAAAATAGGGAAAAAAGCAATTGTCAACATTCATTTATGCCATGTGCTCAAAGCAGAAAAGGTGATACTATTGATTACGGCAAAATAAATATCAAATAAAAAGCAGACTGAATGACTAGGGGTATAGTAAAACAACAATATGCTTTTTATTAAATTAAAACTTCCTTAAAAATACTAATCAGTACTGTTATAATTTACCAATATGCCTCAGATCTCATTCTTCATAAAGTCCTCAAATATTTCTTTCCCCCAAACATTTTGATTTCATGTTTTTGTTGTTCCTGCCATTCTCCTAAGTGACATATTTATCCAGTACTTTCCGCATTTTCATCTTCACCATGAAGTTACCACTGCCCTTTTAACTGACACAAAAGGAAACCTCCTGTGTCTTCCATAGGATGTCCTCCCAAGTGTAACGCCATCCTCTGTCCTGGTGCAGGCAGGAGCAAGGGGTCCAGGTGGCCAGCTGCAGTGGTCATTGAGGGCATTGTGACGCTCAGCCAGTCTCTGAAGGCTGCAACCATGTGGTGGTCTGGGCGGGCAGTGCCAAAATCAAGTCCTGAACCACCTTGGGTGAAAACATGTCCCCACCTTTCACAGGTGACCCCCAATCCATTTCCTGTCCATTGTCCAGACAGACCCGGATGCACACCCCACCTCCCACCCAAGTATGCATTACTCTGTCCAGGGCAAATTTGCTGTGTTTATCACTACTCATTCTTAGTCCTGTGGCCCTCATGTAGTTTCCAGTATTTTTTTTTTTTACACGTCACCTCTGTTTTAAAGTTCTTCTTCACAGGAGTCATATGTCAGATAATTGCGTTCTGGCTTAATTGTAACAGCTTTTATGAAGTCCTCCTGCCCTGGAGAACATTCTCTCTCAGGATGAAGAGGCAACAGCCCCAGGATATGATCTTAAGTAGGCAGAGGGCAGGAGGAGTTAAAGTGAAGGGAAGGGGCCCTCTTTGTGTCCTGGTATCCTGAAGTTTTGTCTGTGCAGCTCACAACTTACCTACCTGCAGGAAAAATCAGAGAAGTTGAAGTGATAGAATGTGAACCAAAAAGAGGCTTTTTTTTTTTTAATTTGCAAACTATTTCTATCTTGGAGTTTGATTGCAGGAGGGAACCAAGCAAAGGTGGGAATGGAGAGGCTTGGGAACTGCTAGTTTCTCATAGGACATTTCAGCTGACACGGGGGGATTATATGAGTGAGACATGTGACAGTGAGACACATGAGTGAGTTCATGTCTCAGCAAATGAGACAGAACTCGCAGTACATCCAATAGTCCCATAATCATATGAAAGTTTCTGAAAAAGGTAGATTGTCATTTGGAATTATGCACTCCTCTTTCCCTCTGTTAGCCATAAAGACTAGAAAGAGAATTTTAAATCACATGAGTTTACACTTCACATCTCCCAGCTTCATTATCCTTCACGTGTCTGTTTGGCACATTTTTATTAAGCATGAGCAGTGGGCCTCACAAAGCTCTAATGCCATTAATGAATTACTGTGTCCCCTGGAACTTAGGTTCCATTTTCACACCTGATCTGTCATAGCTACTTCTATAAACAGTTCGGTTAGAATGCTGAAATAGTCATGAGAAAATGGATCCAGTGGCATCCTGTTGACACATGAAAGCAAGTGTCCTTTAGCCACATCAGACAGGCCTTTGTCACTGTTAGTAGTGGCTCTGTAGTGCACAGTAGACAGCATGAAGAAGGAAGCCAGGTTTAGGAGACAAGTGGCCAGGTGGTGGCTGTGGCACATTGTGATATCATTATTGTATCTTTGGTTCCTGGCACTGTGCCATCAGGAAGGCAGTCAGGGATACCAGTATGTGCCAGGAGATAAGTGACTGTGTACAATTCAGCTTAATGTCTGTTTCTTTAAACAAATCCAAAATCTGGCTGTATCTCATTTCTTCATGGCCACTGCTTGGGCAGTAATAAGGTCAAGGGATACATAAAATTTATACTCAACACACACCAAAAACAAATGGTTCAAATCGTGGTTCTCCTATGAGCCAAATTTAGTAGCAATACCCTTGTGGGTGGGTAAGGCTGACTTGAGATAGAGACTTTCAAAGGGAAAAGGTTATAGAATATCAAGATTAGATTTACCCCCCTATGATTTCATGATGCAAATTAATGCCAGCAATAACAGCCAGCAAAGCTTTGCTTTGATACACTTCACTTACCTATTCTGGGTACAGGAAGAATTACTGTACCCAGGTTAGTAAGAGGCTCTTCTCAGGTTAGCAAGAGGCTTTTAACCTCACAGAGTCGTTGATGACGATGATGATGGTTACTGGGTGTCCAGTGCTACCCTCTGGCATCACCCAAATGTCACTAGGTCTTCAGGAAAGCTAAAGGCAGAGTCCAAAGCTCCAGCTGTATAGATACTTTGGAATTAGGGAGTGGGTAGAGCAGTCAGTAGATATTTCATGTTTGTTTTGAAATAACCTCCATATAGTATAATTGAAAGAGTTAATGGAGGAAAATGAATGCAAGAGGATAAAGAATACCTGCAGTGTGTTTTGGGAGGTGCAGATAGGATTTGAAAGAGCTGTAACAGAGAAGGAATTCTGCCTGAATGATTGGGTGACTACTCCTAGCAGCATCTGAGACGCTGGCAGGCCCTGCAAGTTACAAGTTATGGGATTGTGAGCTCCACACAGCCCTCACAGGATCTAAGCAGTTGCCTGAAGAGTGAGATAAGCCATGTTGTTTTTTTCCTGTTTTCTTTCTCATTCCTCCCTTTGTTTTCTCTGTATATGTTAAATGTGATTACTTGAAAATAAAAATAATTATGTCAACTCAACAGAGTATCAGTGAAGAAAGGTGACATTTTATTTGTGTGCTTCAGGCCACCTCGTCTCAGGGGACCTGGCCAGAGAGCTCTGTGACGTTCAACCCCTATGAGCCAGACCGAGGGTCCCGGGCTGCAGAAAGAGGTGAGAGATGCCCTTTCAGTCACCATTTACTGCCAGATGAAGCAGTCCACACAGCCTCCCTCACAATGAACTGACCACATTGAAAGTGTTATTCAGTGCTTCTTCTTCAAAACTCATGTCTTGTAGTACAATACTACTCAAAGTTCATATTTTCAGTACTATGTTCTTGCAAAGATGTTTGTGTGCACTGAAATACATTTCAGCTGAGTGCAGTAAATGGGTGGCTGGGAGAACTGGAACAGATGTCTGAGCTGTTGGAACTGTAGACATGTTTAGGGAATTGTGGTTGTATGAGGCCGCAGAGGCTGCAGCTCAGGGTGACTGCCCTTAGGAAACTCAGTAGCCCTCTACTAGACTTGTTATCAGAAGCGAAACCTCTGGATGACCTTCTTGGATTCTCTAGGTGACCCCAGGTCATTTTTTATTGGTGACTTGGCCTGTTCATTGCTATAAAAACGACCCCAATACTTAGTAGCTTAAAACAACAGCAGTCATTTCATTGATCTCTCCTCATCTGGTGCAGGTCAGGAATTTGGGCAGGGCTCAGTTGGGTGGTTGTGGTTCAAGGCCTCTTACAGTCAGATTAGGCCAGCAGGGGTGGAAGCCATGGTGAGGCCGGGGGCTGGGGGTCAGCTTGCATCTGCCCCTTTCCATCTATAATGTTGGGGCCTCTCAGCCTGGTCTTTCCATATGACTTGGGCTGTCTCACAGCCCAGAAGGTGCCAAGGCAGTTGGACACCTTGTATGACATCTGAAGCTTCAAGAGTCAGTTTCTAGAAAATAAGCTTTTTATCACCTCTCCTGAACATGTCATCAACATCACTTCTGATAGGCTCCATTAGTTGACAAAGTTACAAAAGCCACTAAGGCAAGGTGACATAGACTGCAGCTATCAATGGAAGGAGGGTCAACATTTTCAGACACAGTAAGTCACCACAGCTTGTAAGGAAGGCTCACCTGTCTTTGCCTCTGGCATGAAAGACCCTTTCTTAATAAATGTTAATGCAAGAATGAGAGTCAAGTACAATGGGCATGAGGGGCTTTTTACTGCCTCCCTACAAACTGGGTGAGACCATACCTCTAGTACTCACTGGCACCCTAACTACCCAAAGTAGCCAAGATCTTGAAAGGGAAGCCGTGACCACACAGGAGGTAGGAGTGGTAGATGCTGGGGTTTGCACTAAGGATCCAGTCCCAGGATTCTATGTTTCTTGAATTCATTGCAGAAGCCCATAGAGAAGCCTTGCCCATGGACACAGAAGTATATGAAAGCCCCTATGCAGACCCCGAGGAGATCAGGCCCAAGGAGGTCTACCTAGACCGGAAGCTGCTGACCCTGGAGGACAAAGAACTGGGCTCTGGTAACTTTGGCACTGTGAAGAAGGGCTATTACCAGATGAAAAAGTAAGTTAAAGCTTTGCACCATCACACCACTCTTACTCTCATGTGAGCTGACATGCTAGAAATATGCATATATTAAGTTCACTTAATCCCAAACAGAAAATGTAGCCACCATAGCTAAATCTGTTTTTATTAACAATATAATATTTGTTCATTTCTGATAGAGTTACCATGAAAATATCCATTATGTGGGTATGCATATAAGTATGCATATAATAATTATGTTAGTTTGGGCATAGTACATGTGTTGTGTAGAGAATCAGAAAATAGAGACAATCAAAACATAAGAATATAAAAGTGTCCTCTTTGTACTACCCAAACACTACTACTGTTAACTAACTGTAGTGTATGTGTGTATAAGATCTCTGTATGCACACACATGCACCCATGTATTATTTAACTAAAATGCAGTCATTCGGTAACAATGTAGTCTACTTATTTTATTTGATTTTTAAAATGGTGTCTCAATTCTCTTTCCCAGAAATGTCCTAATTCCAAATATTATTAGTATGATTATTTACTTGCTTTATCCTATAATCTCAAATAATAGTATATTTTATAACAATTAGAATTGCTAAACTACTAAAATCTCTTTGTACTTCATTTGGTCTTTGAAAGACCACCTACATGGAGTGTGCAGTGAAAACACTGGTTGTTGTTAGATGATATTTTAAATTTAGGAAATTTTTGTAAATTATTTTTAAGTAGGTAATTTATGTAATTCAGCAGTCAAAAATTTAGATAAAAGCACAGAAAGTCTTGCTTTCAATCCTGCTACTTTTGTGTGTGCATGTGTGTATGTTTTAAATGTGTGTGTGTGTATTTTTGAGTAATATACTTATTTAAAATATATGTATATATACCACAGTCATTTTGTAAAATGAGCTTAAATTATCCTGTATTAAGGCATACATTTTCACAACTACTTTGTGATAGTTAAATTTCTGCCTTAACTATATATGTAAATTAACAAACATGATTATAGATACCAAGGAGGGGACATCCAAAAAAACCAGAATTATCTTCAGGAAGGCATCTCCTTGTAGTACAGACTTCCCCAGCTAGGTGAGTGTTCTAGGAACCCAACTGTATCGGTGTACTAGCAGGCATTGTTGCAAGAGGCTGTGTTCAGCTTCAGTGAATTTTTTTTGAAGATTCTTTTCATGTGTTTGCCCATTTCATGAGGGGGGATTTACAAGTGCACCTGCCCACACTGCACTGAGTATTCAGCAGTTTTTGACCAAAAATGTTATGACCCCCATGCCTCACCCTCCCTATCCACCCAATCTCACCCTGAGAACAACTTTTTTTGTTTCCCTGGATGAAAAGAGTCCTCCAAGGGACATCTTGCCAATGTGGAAGAGGTGAAACAAAAAATAGCACAAACACTAAAAAGATTCAAAATCAACAAGTTCAAAAACTGCCTTGAGCAGTGGAAAAAACATCTCATAGGTGCATTGCATAAAGTGGAGAGTGTTTTGAAGGTGACTGAAGCTTAAACATTTAAGAATAAATGCACAACTTTTATAAATAAATTTGTATTTTGGAGGATCCCCCTTACGCATAAATTCAGCTAGAGGGTTTGGGAAGAGGAAAAGCCTTAAAGATCAGCTTGGGGCACAACAAGTTCTTCACAGTACTGAGTCTTCCAGTCAGTAAACATGACCCAACTCTCCATTTCCTTGAGTCATCTGTAATTTGTCTCAGGTTTCTCTTAGCAGAGTTATTTAATACTTTTCTGTGTTGAGGTCTTGCAAAACTTTTTTGCTGGATTCATTTGTAGGTATTTAGTACTTTTGATGTTAATATACATGGTATAATTTTTAGCTCTAGTGTTGGTTTGATATAGAAATATAAATGGTTTTGGCTGTTGACCGGATACCCAGCAACCTTACTGAATTCACCTATTATTTCTAACTTGTTATTTCTAGGGCTTATCTGTGTAGTCTTTGACCCACAGCATATCATCTGTGAATGACATTTCACCCTGTTTAATCCTTATACTTGTCATGTTTCTTTCTTGCCTTATGGTATCAGCCAGGAACTGTGGTTCAGCAGAGGATGGAAGTGACTGTAGCCTCCCTTCTCATTCCTGACTTCAGGGGAGAATTGTCAGTGTTTCACTGTTAGGTTTATAGCTGCTCCTATCAGATGAAGAGAGTTCACCTTTATTCTTTTCTGAGAGATTTATTTTTAATCATGAATGTGTATTACATTTTATTGAGTACTTTTTTTCTTCTGCTGGAATAAACATAAGTTTATCTCCTTTATTGTATAATGTGGTAAATTATACACTGATTGATTTTCAAATATAAAACCCACCTTGAATAAACTCATCTTTTTCATGAATTAAATATTCATAATATATTTTTCAGAATTCACTGGACCTTCTATTATTTCTTATGGAATTTTTGTATCTATGTCCATGAGGGCTATTAGTAAATTATATTCTTGTGATTTCTTTGTCTGGTTTTAGCCTCGGGGTAATGCTGGCCTTATAAAAATGAGTTATAAAGTTTCCTTCCTTTTCTTTGTCCTGGAAGAGGCAATGGGTGTTATTTTTTCCTTAAACATTGGGAAGAATCAAAAGATTTTTTGCTTGTTTTGACCCCTGCTTCGTACTATATACAAAACAAGTCCAGATGGAGAGTTGAATGAAATGTGAAGGCAAAACAATAAACTGTCCAGAGAGACCAGGGGACAATAGTTCCATGATCTTTGGAGGGAACTGAGGGGCTCCTGAAGTGCCCATGGTCTGTGCCTACCTCTGTGTGGGAGTTACAGCCTGCACCCAGTATGTAAGCCCATGTCCAGTTCTACACTCAGGCTGTCTGTACTTGTCTGAATGTGTGTCAGACTTAATTTACTATTCTATTATTCTACCTGTTTTATTGGATAGTTCTTGTTTTATTCTCCCATTTGGAGTTCAACAGAACAGCTATACATCCTGCACTTGTGGGAATTGGATGAAAGATTCAGTTTTTCAAGTCATTCATAGTTGAGTTCCATTTATTTATGTAAACTCCACTATATTAGAATGTTTTTAAGAGTTCAAGCATGCCCTGTGTGATATTTTTATTAGAAAATAAAAAATAATTTTTGCAAACTCATTGAGGCTTGCTTAAATTAACAAAGCTCAGTTTAAACGTGCTTTGTTAACTATGAGCTTTAACAACATATGTTTTTTATTTCTGCATCTGTATATTAAAAGGATGTTGTATTTACATGCATTACATGTAATGTGAGATGGTCAATCTCAAAATATTATAGGTCTCCATTTATGTCAGTTTGTAAGGTTTATTTAAAAATTATTTAAATATTGTTATACTTAGGCTTTCTACTTGGTTGGGATATTCTTCAGCTCCACTTCCTATCCCTTTATTTATTTTTATTTTTTTAATATATTTTATTGATTGTTATTACAATTGTCCCATTTCCCCCTTCATTTTCCTCCACCCTGCACACCCCCTCCCTCCCACATTCCCCCACTTTAGTTCATGTCTATGTGTCTTAAGTTCCTTAGCTTTTACATTTCCCATACTATTCTTGCCCTCCCCCTGTCCATTTTCTACCTACCGTCTATGCTACTTATTCTCTGTATCTTTTCCCCCTCTCTCCTCCTCTCACTCCCCTGTTGCTAACCCTCCTTGTGGTCTCCATTTCTGTGGTTCTGTTCCTGTTCTAGCTGTTTCCTTAGTTTGCTTTTGTTTTAGGTGTGGTTGTTAATAACTGTGAGTTTGTTGTCCTTTCACTGTTCATGTTTCTTTAACTTCTTTTTCTTAGATAAGTCCCTTTAACATTTCATATAATAAGGGCTTGGTGATGATGAACTCCTTGAATTTGTTCTTATCTGAGAAGCACTTTATCTGCCCTTCCATTCTAAATGAAAACTTTGCTGGATAGAGCAATCTTGGATGTAGGTCCTTGTCTTTCATGACTTGGAATACCTCTTTCCAGCCCCTTCTTGCCCATAAGGTCTCTTTTGAGAAACCCACTGACAGTCTGATGGGAACTCCTTTGTAGGTGACTGTCCCCTTAACTCTTGCTGCTTCTATAATTCTCTCCTTCATTTTAATCTTGGGTAATGTAATGATGATGTGCCTTGGTGTGTTCCTCCTTGGGTAAACCTTCTTTAGGACTCTCTGAGCTTCCTGGATTTCCTGGAAGTCTATTTCCTTTGCCAGATTGGGGAAGTTCTCCTTTATTACTTGTTCAAATAAGTTTTCCACTTGTCTCTCTTTCTCTTCCCCTTCTGGTACCCCTATAATTTGGATGTTGGAATGTTTAAAGATGTCCTGGAGGTTCCAAAGCCTCTCCTCATTTTTTCAAATTCTCGTTTCTTCATTCTTTTCTGGTTGGATGTTTCTTTCTTTCTTGTGATCCACTCCATTGATTTGAGTCCCAGTTTCCTTCCCATCACTATTGGTTCCCTGTGCCTTTCCCTTCATTTCACTTAGTTTAGCCTTCATTTTTTCCTCTAATTTGTGACTAAAATCAACCAGTTCTGTGAGCATCCTGATCACCAGTGTTTTGAACTGTGCATCTGATAGGTTGGCTATCTCTTTGTCACTTAGAAGTATATTGGCTCTGGGACTTTGAGCTGTTCTTCTGCTTGAGCCATAATGTTTTGGTCTGTTCACAACTATTACGTATAAGGGGCAGAGCCTTAGGTGTTCACCAGGGTGGGTCAACCTAAGTCGCTGGGTTGTGACACTATGTATGGGGGCGAGGTCAGAGAGGGGAAAAAATGGTGCTTTCCTCCATTCTCTGTTGCACCTCAGCCCTTTCAGCTGCTTCCCCCAAGCAAACTGGGCCTTTCTGGTGCTGATTCTCGTGTGTGTGGGCTTGTGTGTGTTCTAGGACCCTGTGGGTTTCTCCAATGAACTTTCCTGGGAGGTTGGAGTCTCTCCCTGCACCTCAACCCCCACATGTGTTTTCAATCAGTGTTTTGAGGCTTTATTTCTCATTGCTAGGAGCCTGGGTTGCTCAATTTGTCTTGCTCCCCAGTTATCTGCCCGCGAATGTGGGACCGCTGCCCAGTCAGCCACCTTGTGCATGGTGCCCTGCTTCTCAATCACGGCCTCACCGCGTCTGCCCATTGCCACTCCACACCCAGAGTCTGCCAGTTACTGCCAGGGTGCCAAGGCCAGGTGCCGCCTTGCACACCCGGTGTGCCTTGCACGCCGTTGTCACTGCTTCCTGTGCTGCAACCCCTCTTCACTTGGCCTCCCAACTCCACCCCACCTACCAGTCTGGATGAATGTGTCTATTTTAACTCCTCGGTTGTTGGACTTCCATATAGTTCAATTTTCTTTCAGTTTTGGTTGTTACTTTGTTTCTGTGTTGTTGTTGTTCTTATTTTGGTTGTTTGAGGAGGCACAGTGTGTCTACCTACACCTCCATCTTGGCCAGAAGTCCCTATCCCTTTATTTTTAACTAATGAAGTATCACTCTCTTTGTCCATAAAATGACAGAACATTGTTGGAAAACTAGTCATTTATAGCACAGTTTCTTTGGATACATTTTCATTATGTAGCTATTATTTGTATAACACTACTTCTAGAAGATATTTACCTGAAAGTGAGACACTTTGAAAAGTGTCTTATGCATTATGATTTCTTTTACAGAGGTGCGAAAACAGTAGCAGTGAAAATCCTGAAAAATGAGGCCAATGACCCGGCTCTGAAAGATGAGCTATTAGCAGAAGCCAATGTCATGCAGCAGCTAGACAACCCTTACATTGTTCGTATGATCGGGATCTGTGAAGCTGAGTCCTGGATGCTGGTCATGGAGATGGCAGAACTTGGTCCCCTCAATAAATATTTACAGCAGAACAGGTATCTTCAGGGACCCCTGAAGTTTACACTATGAGGGGCAGGGCCCACCCAAGGGCACACATAGTAGTCTGGTTTCTTCAGGAAGCCTCTGTCCTCCCGTACTGTCTAAGAATCTTGCTGGAGGAGGGGAGAGAGCTTTGGTTTTCATTCTACTTTGTTCACTCTGTGTTGGCCCACTGACAGAATTAGCACTACTTGGTGGTCAATATCACCTCACTAGGAAAAACCTGCTGCTTTTCGCAAGAAATATTTAATAAACATGTTATAGGGCATAACAGTGATGACTTATTTGTTTGGCTGACCTCTACATTCCCACAAGTAATTCTGAAAACATCTGTTGCTGTGCTCTCTGCTAAAGCCATTGCTGAAATGGAAAAACTGGTATGAAATACTCATGGAAATCGCCACTGGTTACCCAAGCCCATTTGCTACATTATGCTTATACTTTACTTAGATTGTGTCTTTAATTTCCATTTAAGAGGAAGGTGTTACCCCAACTTCAGAGGTAAAAAACTGACACTCAGGGTTGGATTTGTTTTATATCCGATTTTAGAGCAAGGATTCTGATTGAAGCCTGGCTTGCCTTGAGCCAGGTCTCATGACCCTATTATACTCCTTTTCATGCAATTCAAAGTAAGCCTTGAAAAAACTGGACCAGTTGAACACTGGGAGAATGGTGTTTACTTTTAAACAGCTATAAGTAAACTAGATTATTTGTCACCACTTGTGAATCTTGCTTAAGAAGAATGGGAAATGAGTGGACTTGCCTTCTCTCTCTGTGAGGAGCACAGTTGGTTATTCTGAAATGGACTACTATCCACCATCACTAATCACATGCTTGACTTGCAGGCATGTCAAGGATAAGAACATCATAGAACTGGTTCATCAGGTTTCTATGGGAATGAAGTATTTGGAGGAGTCCAATTTTGTGCATAGAGATCTGGCTGCAAGAAACGTATTGCTGGTTACTCAACATTATGCCAAGATCAGTGATTTTGGGCTTTCCAAAGCACTTCGTGCTGATGAAAACTACTACAAGGTAGGAACAACTTTGCCAGTACTTGAAGCAGCAGGTGGTAAAAATCCGAAATGAGAATGTATCTCTTATATTTCATTACAGTGAGGTTTCAAGAAGCAATTTTCCTTGATGCCCTCTAGGTGTCCGCAGTGTTATGGATGTGATGAACAAATTCACATGGACTGCACAAGTCCTGGGGAGAAAAGGGATGGCACAGCTACTCTAAGTGAGAGCAGGTGCCGACCCTTGCCTGGACAGGCTTTTATTGCTTTCTAGTAGCATACATCAAGGAAGGTTCTCATTCATTATGCTCATGTTTGCTTTAGGTGATTAACTTTTACAAATAACAAAGAAAAAGATGTTACTGGTTACTTCTTATGGATAACAAAGAAAAGGATGTTGCAAATGCAAGGGAAAAAGTGGTTGAACTGGTTACACTCTGTCCTTAGAGGTTTATCACAGACTTTAGGAAGTAACTTCAAAGATGTGCATTAAACTTTTGTTGCCTTAACTCAGGGTGAGGGAGTTTTAGCAGAAGCAAGCCTCAGAGCAGCCTAGATATAATGCAGGCCTGGTCCCTGTTGGGAAAGCTGATCTGTGGGCCTGGCTCCTGTGTGATGCCTTGTACCTGTCAGTTTTCTAAACTAGGTCTGAGCTACATTCGCCATTGCCATGTGGACTTGTTTCCTATATTTCTGATTTAAAAATAACTATGTAAAAATATTCTTCTTAAGTTTTGATTTATTGTTAAAAATGGAAATACTCTAATATATCACAATTTTAGCTTTATTCAGAATAATATCCTCCAAACTATGTTCATTGGAACAATAGGAAATCAACAGTTTAGTATTAGAAAGAGAAATCAAGGAAACAACCTAATTTATAGTTACATCAAAAGAAATAAAATATGTAGGAATAAATTTAACCAAGGAGGTGAAAGACCAGTACTCAATGAAATAATACCTCATATCTATCAGAATGGCTGTTGTCAGACAAAAATAAATAATAAGTGTTGAAGAGGATGTGGAGAAGAGGGAACATTCCCCACTGTTCTGGGGAATCTATATTGGTGCAGCCACTATGGAAAGTAGTATGGTAGCTCCTCAAAAAATTAGGAATAGAGTTACCATATGACCTAGCAATGCCACTTCTACCTATTTTTCTAAAGGAAATAAAATCACTATCTCTAGAGAGCTCTAAACATCTCATGTTCTTTGCAGCATTATTTACAATGGCCAAAATTTGGAAACAACGTGAATATCTATCCGTGAATAAATGTACAAAACATATACACACACATACACAGTCTTCAGCTTTTAAAAAGAAGGAAACACCGCTATTTGCAACAACATAGATGAAACTTGAAAGCATTATGCTGAGTGAAATAAGTCAGGTACAAAAAGACTAATATGCTATCATCTCACTTACATGTGGAATCCAAAAAATAAAATGCACACATTGAAACAGAGTAGATTGTGGGGGAGGGAAATGGGTGGAGGTCATCAAAGGATGCAAACTTCTAGCTGTAAGAGAGTAAGTTCTGAGATCTAATGCATGGTGATTATCATTAACAGTACTGTGTTACATGCTTGGAAGTTAACAAGAGAGTACATACTAATTTTTTTTTACCATAACAACAACAAAAATGGTAATTATGTCAGGCGAAGGATGTGTTAGCTAATGTTATTGCTGTAAACAGTTCATAATATATCTGTGCATCAAATTATCACAGTATATGAAAAGCTAAAAGCCATGTTAGAACCTGCAAAAGAGACTGAACACTCAGAGAAGCTGGTGACATGGAGGACTTTTCTTATGAAATCAGAAAAAAAATGAGATGGAAAAGAATAAAAAGTTGAAGAGGATTAAAGAGAAATGATAGCAAAGGAAGCAGTTGACGTGGCCCCCAGAGATCTGTGTACACCACAGCTGAACTGTGCAGCACCAGCCCGTGGACCACACATCCTTTGATACAGCAGCTCCTCACAAATGCCTGATATCCCAAGCAGACACAGCACACTGTGCTTTATTGCACTTTGCAGATAATGTGTTTTCTGCAGATTGAAGGTTTGTGGCAACCATTTGTTGCACAAGTCTATGAGCACAATTTTTTCAACAACTTTTGCTCACTATGTGTCTCTGTCACATTTTGGTGATTCTTACAATATTTCAAACTTTTTCATTATTATTTTTGTTATGCTGATCTGTAATCAGTAATAATTTGATGTTACTATTAAAATGGCTTTGGAGTGAGATGAACTGTACCCATATAAGGTAGAAAACTTAATAAATGTGTGTTCCAGTTGTTCCAGTGACCAGCCTTCCCCTCTCTCATTCCTTCTCCCTGGCCCTTCCTACACCCTGAGACACAACAATATTGAAATTAGGCCTGTTATTAACCCTACAATGGCCTCTATAGGTCTCATTAATAATGATTTCTCTGAGGGATCTGGGCAAAGTATTGGGTTGGCCAAAAAGTTCATTTAGTTTTTTTCCATAGGATGGTTCTAGTAGTGCTTAGCTGTCTTTAACTTCATTCAAAACAATTTTGTTAAATTATATTGTGACAGCTGTCATATCAACATGCATTAAAAAGAAAACATCAAAATTGGTGAATTTTTGTACAGTCATTTTAATATTGAGATGGAAGAAAATATGCAACATTTTCAGCATATTATGCTTTATTATTTTAAGAAAAGTAGAAGCACGGCTGAAACAAAAAATTTGTACAGTATATGGAGGAGGTGCTGTGACTGAATGAACATGTCAAAAGTGGTTTGCAAAGTTTCTTGGTACTGTTGACATTTTGGCCAAATAATTCTTTGCTATGGAGCTGTCTTATGAATTGGAAGATATTTAGCAGCACCCTGACCTCTACCCACTAGAAACCAGTAGCAGAAGGTAACCAACATACTCAAAATATACAAATCAATAAAGTTATTAGTGAAAATGAAAAATGTGCCTTTTATTTTATGGAAAAAAACTAAATGGACTTTTTGGTCAGCACAATAAATTGAAAACCTTCTGAAAAGGATTCCCCATTCTAGATGCCTCTAAGAACATTTATGATTCATGAGAAGAGGTCAAAACATCAACATTCACAGGAGTTTGGAAGAAGTTGATTGGATGACTTTGAGGTTCCAGGCCTCAGTGAAGGAAGTAACTTCAGGTGAACTAAAAATTGCAAAAGAACTAGAATTACAAGTGGAGCCTAGAGATGTCACTAAATTGCTTCCAAGTATTATGATAAAACTTCTAAGGGATGAGGAGTTGCATCTCAAATGAGCAAAGAAAGTGGTTTCATAAGATGGAATTGACTGCTGGTGAAGATGCTGTGAAGACTGTTGAAGAGACAACAAAGGATTTAGAATATTACATAAGCTTAAGTTGATAAAGTAGTATCTGGATCTGAGAGAATTGACTCCAATATTGAAAGAAGTTCTACTGTGGGTAAAATACTATCTCACAGCATCCCGTGCTATAGAGCAGTTGTTCATGAAAGGGAGAGTCAGTCAATGCATTGAACTTCACTGTTATCTTATTTTAAGAAATTGACACAGCCCACCTCCAACCTTCAGCAACTCTGATCAGTCAGCAGCCACCAGCATTGAGGCAAGACTTTCCACTGGCAACAATTATGTACATGTTTTTTAGACTTAATGCTATTGCACACCTAATAGACTACAGTATAGTGTAAATATAACTTATATTCACTGGGAACCCCCCAAAATTGTGTGACTCGCTTTATTGTGGTGATCTGTAACCAAATCACAGTGTGTTCAAGGTTTGCCTCCGCACACTGTCAGTAATGTCTAGTGTGATGTGTGATAACAAAACTCAGGAAACAACTTAATGGCCTCTCAGTAGGAGACTGGTTAAATTAGTTGTAGAAGATTTACATGAAGCATACAATTAGCTCTTCTGAAATCTTTATTTACATATACTGACATAGAAATATATCTAAGATACATGGCTAAGTAGAAGAATTAAAAAGTAAAGAACAAAAAGAGTATACTTCTAATTTTATTATTTTCCCAAAAGTATTTATTTTATATTTATACTTGTATATGCATTTTTCTGGAAGGACCCAAGAAAAGCTATCAAATGCAGTTGTCTCTGGAGACAAGAATTTGGAGCTGGTGGTGGACAGAGACTGATCTTTCATCACATTTAAGATTTGTCAAAGGTTTATCTTTTTATCAGTTCAAAGTTCATAATAAACTTGAAATAACACCCATTTTATATTGTTCACAACTTTAGAAATCAAAATCTATAAATAATGCATAATGTGAATGAGACAGAGGTACAATCAGTTTGTCACACAGAGAACTACCATGACACTTAGGTCTCTACTTGATGTCCCAAGTTGCCCTCTCCTACCCCATCTTAGGGCAGTTTCCCTCCCTCCCTCTGCTTTGGGAGACTTCGCCCAGATCAGAGTGACATCCACAGGAGGCAGGCAAGGCTTACCCACAACACTGAACCCCAAGCCTCAAAGGAAAGAGTTTTGGTAGGCATGATTCTGATTGTTTTACCAACACTTTTGAAATTAGTTTAAACCAGTTTAAAAGGATACCAGTAAACAGTCTATGCCCAAGTAATTTGTGTTGGCTTAAAACTTGTAGACAAGTACACTTAAAAATAGTCCAGTTCTTCTTGGAGCATAATCATGACATAATACTCAGGCTTGACTCTTGCATCGCAACAACAAGCTCCGTGAAGTGTGAGTGGCAAAAGGAAGAGGTGAGAGAAAATGACTGAAAGATAGAAGAAATTTTATCTGAATCTTTTAAAAGATGGATTTAAAATTTAAGATTTCAGGATTTAATAATGTTTAAGATTCAGACCAAATACATACACACATGCACACACGCTGCCATTTTGTGAGTCATGATTTTATTCTTTTTTGTAATTGTGGTAAAATACACTTCACATGAATTTTGCCATCTTAACTATTTTCAAAATTACAGTTCAGTCCTGACTGGTGTGGCTCAGTGGGTGGGTGTCATCCTGCAAACCCAGAAGGTCTCCAGTTCTGTTCCTGGTCAGGGCACCTGCCTGGGTTGCTGACCAGGTCCCTGCTTGGGGGCATGTGAGAAGCAACAGATCAATGTTTCTCTCCCTCTCTTTCTCTCCCTTCCCCTCTTTCTAAAAATAAATAAATAAAGTATTTTTAAAGAAAGAATGGAGTTTAGTAGTATTAAAAATATTCACTTTGTTTACAACCAATCTCCAGAATTATTTTCATCTTACCAACTGAAACTATAATCATTAAGCACTAATTCCCTATTCCTCCCTCTTTACCCAACCCCTGGGGACCCTTATTCTACTTTCTGTCTCTATGAATTAAACTATTCTAGGGCCCACAGATGAGTATCACACAGTATTTGTTTTTCTGTGACTAAACTGGCTTATGTCACTCGGCATTGTGAAAGATAACCTCATGGTTCCTCTGTGTTGTTCAATGTGTCAGAACCCTCTTCCTTCGTAGGGCTGAATGACATCTCATTGTATGAGGTGACCCCATTTTATTTGTCCCTTCATGTGTCAGTGGACACTAGTGTTGCTTCCACCTCTCGGCTCTTGTGAATAGTGCTGCTGTGAACATGGGTGTGCACAATTTTGTTCTTAATGGAAGTTCTCTGTTTGCATTGCTTTCAGGCCCAGACCCATGGGAAGTGGCCCGTGAAGTGGTACGCTCCGGAGTGTATCAACTACTACAAGTTCTCCAGCAAGAGTGACGTCTGGAGCTTCGGGGTGTTGATGTGGGAAGCGTTTTCCTATGGGCAGAAGCCATATCGGGTTAGCCACTACCGTGTCACATCCTAATTATGTGGCCCTCAGAACAGAGAAGCACCAATTATTGTGGCAGCACCCTGAAAATCACAATCAGGGCATTCTTCTTGAGTCTTTGGCTGTCTTTTCACAGTGGGCAGTTAATACAACCTCAGTTTATTCGCAATTGCAGATGAAATATTATTCTTCCCAGAAGAGGGATTGATTGCTGGGTCATACTTTAAGTCTATTCTTAAGTTTCTGAGGAAGCCCCATACTGTTTTCCACAGTGGGTGTAGCAGAGAAATATTTCATGGTAACTGAAGAGTATGTCTTTTTTCACTGTATATGACACATGTAGATACATATAAGGTACAACCAAATCAGCATTAAAGTTGAAGTAGAAATAATGGCCATTTCCAATATCAAAATGGGAGCTCATTACATTTTTTAGATTTTTTTAAATCAAAATATACATACCAGAAAGTGCACAAATGCTGGGATACCGCTTGTTGAACCTTCCCAGATGGGACACACCCATGAAACCAGCCCCGAGAGCAAGAAAGAGAACAGAACCCCAAATCCTCTGCCCCCTGCATGCATACCTCCCCGTAGGGGCAACCTTATCTAACTCCTAGGTCATAGGTTAGGTGCTGCTGTCTTTGTACTTTTTATAATTCACATCACACGTCATGTACTCTTTTGTTTCTTTTGGGGAGAGTGGGGTCTATGTATTGCTTTGTTTTGTTGAATACTATGTTTAAAAAGCTAAGGTACATTTTGCATGTTTTAGGGGATGAAAGGAAGTGAAGTTTCCGCCATGCTAGAGAAAGGAGAGAGGATGGGGTGCCCTCCAGGGTGTCCCAGAGAGATGTATGATCTGATGAACCTGTGCTGGACGTATGAGTGAGTACTGCCCCTTCCTGTGATTTATCCAGACACTCTGGAGGCATTTGGTGTGGCTGGGCACTAAAAGAGGCATACATTCTGTCTTCTCATGAGGCAGGGACGTGTTCTGGTCTAAACAAACAATGGGGAAAATGTCTTGCTTTCTGGACCACACACTTCTATTCTTTAGTCTAAAAAAATAAGTTTAGACAACTACTCTAAATTCAGGATGTCAAAATTTAAATGTACATAATATTGGCCAGGGTGGTAGGGTGGTCAAAATATAAAGATGTTTCTAAGAGTCTGGTCCAGTGCTGCATACAATTTTTGGTGACAGAGGATGGCAGAAGCACCTAGAGGGAAATGTCTGCTTTCTTAATTCCAACCACCTTTCAGAGTGAGGCACAACCATGGATGTTGGCTAGCTCACAGATGAATTGGCTGAGGTGGCACTTCTCAAGAAGTGACTCGGACCTGGGAACAGTGGCCCTCAGAGTCTGCCCTAAGCACTCTAATGCATCCTGCCTGAAGCATACGTGAGCTTATGGAAGTTCAGCAGGCAAGGGAAACCCATCACAACTGGGAATCAGGGACTTTCCCCGGGTGGATCAGCCTGTGAGTGCATTGTGGAGAGCCCTAAGCTGTGGTCTCTGTACCTCTGGCGTTGCCTTGAGCAGCTTGGCATCACTGCAGGTCTGTCATTGGGAGGAGCTCATATCCTTGCAATAGATTTTAATACTTCAGGGATCGGTTTTGCTCTGAGGTGCAACAGCTGGAGATGCAGGAGCATACTAAGAATGAGGGATAGTGCAAGTGATCTCGGGTGCCACTTGGGATTGCACCATACCGCAGGGAGGATTCTTCACCCCACACAGTTGAGAGTGCAAGTAAAAAATATTATTATCTAGAAGCAGCATGGTGAGCCCCAAAAAGAGAGGACAGGAATGTTCAGTTGCTGGTGCTGACACAGTTCAAAGAAAGGCCCTTTCTGTAGCAAAGGTACCTATCTGGGCCCTGGGAAGCTTCTTGAACTCAGACTATCAGAGTGGCGGCAGGAGAGAAAGGCTAGAAATAGATTGTAGAAGGGGGGTGTCCAGTCTTCAAAGTCCTGACTAACTCCCACATCACCATCCCCGGTGCCCAAACTGGAATTACTAGAATCAGTGACAGGTAGGTCCTGCCATTTTCAAAATGGAAATGAAAGGTCTAGCCTAGAAATTGTGGTTAGGGTGGCATCATATAGGAAACAGAAGACAAATCTCCCCTTAGTGATGTTACAGGCCTTGATACAGACTTTGACCTTGTCACCTTGCACCTGTGCTGGATCAAACTCCAGCTGTCCTGCTTTGAGGCACCCCTGAAAGGCAGGAGCAGGAGGACAGAGCACCTCTGAGACTTTCCCAGGACCCTTGAATGAGAGCAGACTGGCAATCTCCTCTTCATAGCACCTGTTCCTACAAAGCTGCTGAAGACACCACAGTCCTTCCTGGCTTAGTAGGTATTGTGCACCATGTACCCCACTGAGTTCTGAGGACCTGGTGGCTAGTGAGGCACCACTGGGAGCAGAACAGACCCTCACGTCAGATGTGCGAAGCCCTAGGGAGGGCACACCTTCAGGTAGTTCTTCCGCCTGACTGCAGCTTCATTTGGAAGATTTAACTTCCTCTGAAAAAAATGAATTTAAATCATTCTGAAAAAAATGAAAATAACTAGAATTAAAATGAACTCTCAGGGAAACAGTTGAAGTTAGTGTTTTGCTCTTAATGTGAACACTGACATGTTTATTTCTGTCTGCTGTTCTTTGTGATGGATGCTGACTAGTGAGGAGGGGACTCAGGGCTGCAGGAGAGTTGTTAGGCAGTGTGCCTGGCAGAGTGAACCATGTTAGGAGCCATGAACCACGGTAGGAGGAATGATGTAGCCAAAACACACCCCCACTTGGTTGGGTGGCCATGGTGAGCCTTGAATACTGATAGCATTAGAGTGTTCTTCCTGTGACAGGATTCCAGACCACATCTGCTCACCTGCCTTTGTCCTCAGAGACACACCCAGCTCTTGGTGCTGTTATCGCCAGGATGGCCCATGAGGGGAGGACAAAGGAAACAGTTCTTGGTATTCACTGGAGGCAGAGCGAGGTAGAACACCCCTCTTTCAGAAAACCTTGTTTCCCAGTTACTTTTCCCACCTGGAGGTTTAGGTCACAGTCTGAGTAAGGTTTACAGGCACTGCTATCTTTCCCTTCACCTCCAACCCCAGGAATGCTTTCCAGTGAGCCCTACACTGACGTCTAGACATTAGCAACAGTGTTTAAGTATCAGTGACTGACTCTGGACCTTGCCTAAAATTATGAATGACAACTCTTTATCAAACTTCCTTTTTCCAGTAAGCTATATTTTCGAGGGTTAAATGTTTTCTGGTAATGGCCTGGAATGTTGGGGTCATCCAGAGAGACACAGCCAGAGACAGTCTTAATATAAGTAGTTAAATGATGTACAGTTGAATGGAAAAAAAGAACAAAACATTTGGAGGGGCATGGCCAGCAAGGAGAACTCAGAAGCACCAGGAGCTGGTCTGACAACCTGGGGACCTAACCTCAGCAGACCTCACAGAGATCCTGGCTAGGTCCCCTGTAGGAATCTGCAGTTACAGAAGGAGCAGCAGGCAATACATGGTAAGCTATAAAATAAGTGCATTCTTTTGTGTTTTCTTGGAAGGAGACAAGTGCAGTGGCAATTCAGAGCCAGAGGACAGAGGGCTTGGAGACTGCTGCACATATGTGTGAGGAGCTCATATGCAGTTAGTCATTTGCAGAAGGAAATGAAATAGTTGCCTGGTACATGGGAACATGTGGATTCCAGAACCTGGTGCATTCAGTGAAGCAAATACAAATGATCCCTGTATAGTCTCCAACTTTCCTCCATTGTAGATAGTCAGCCACCTTTACCAAGGTGATAGATTTTTAGATAGACGGGTAGGTAAGAAGGTAGATGGATACATAGAAGATACATACATACATATATACATATATAGTGGAAGGAGGGAGGGTAAATGGATAGATACATTGATTGATGATGTATGGATGGATGGATAGAAAATAGGTAAATAGATCCATAGATAATAGGTAGACAGATGATAGATCCATCAATCAATACATGATAGATGGAAGGGTGCATTGAAGTTTAGACAGAAAGACGTGTACATATACACATTTAGATTTATCAGTGATACACCTACTGACTGCCCTCCAAGTTAGTGAGGACAGTCAGTAGGTGTGAATAAGCAGCTGTGAATAAGCAGCTGTTGACACTTCCCTCATGGAGGTCACAATTTTGGACTGGATGTTATTAAACATGAAACAGATTAACCCCCACATACTCAAATGATGGCATCTTGCAGTAGAGCAATAGAGCAAACCATGGGGAATTCTGGATGGGAATAGAGGACCATGGGGGTAGGGTCACCTAACTACTGTTAGGGTCCATATTGGCCTCTGTTGGAAGGATCTTTCCACCTGACAACTGCAGGTTGGGGAGCATGGGTGCAGGAAATGAGAGGAGGAGAAGGGGTGCATTGGGCACAAGAGAATGTGGAAAAGCATTCCAGTCCAGGTGGGCCAAAGCAACCCACCACAAGGCACTTAGCCACCTCCTCTGCTCAAGCTCAGGGTAATCCTAGGTTCCTCATGGTAGCCTCACCTGTGGAGTAAAGGAGAGGTTCCATAAGACACCTGTCCAGGTATCTTCCCTGAGGCCCTGTCTGTATTCCCGTTTCTCTGCATTAGATTTCTTGGTGCTCAGCTGCTGGATGAATGAAACACACACAAGCAAGATTCAGACAGGCTCTTTGTACATTCAGGTCCCTGTGGCTGGAGTTTGTGCTCTCTTTGTAGCAGGACTGAGGCTGTCTCTGTGCGTGCAGAGCTTTCTATGTATATTTCTGTACCCCGGGGCTCAGCCATTTCATTCCCTCCTAGAATACAACTTGGCATCCAGATACACAGCCCCCTCCCCCACTGGGGTCTAAGTCGCCAGCCGTGACCACACATGGCTAATTTTTTCAAGCAGTTTTTGCTCGTTCTTGAAAGCTGTAGATTCTCAAATAGGATCATTTGTCGTGACACTGATAAGATGCCATAGGAACCTAACTCTTATATATATCAATCAGCCAGTGTTCAAATTGGTTTCATTATGTGTTGTTTTGCTTAAAGTCATGAAACCTTTTGAGGACTTACTATATTTTGATGCCATATGACAAAACAAAAAGAAAGAAAAAGAAAACATTTTGCTTCTGAAGAAACCACTTTGCCCTTACATTGATGAATGATTCCAAGGCCTGATGCATGCTCCCAGGCTGTTCTTTTGAGCCTTATAAAATTGTAGTTTTAGGTCAAAAAGGTTGAATGTGGACAGTTCATAGTTTGACTTCCAGTTCTGTTTCACTTTTTGGGTAATTTTATCCACTTGCAATAGAGCCAAAAATTGGGGTGAAATAAGAAAACTTATTTCCAAACAATGATAGATTCTTAGATTTTTAAGAAATACTTGCTTGTGACAGATCCAGTTCAAAGATGTCTGTAAAAGTTCGTTTAGAGATTGCAAATTATGAAAAACTTTTTCCCATAGTTTACTTACATTGCTTCCTCCCCTGAGAAGTGACAGGAAAGTGAGGTCTTGCTGTGTTAAGATGTATAATAGACATGCTTCTGTCCTTGCTTCTGCCCTTACAGGTTTTAAGTTTTAATAAGAACCCATATGGGAACAACTGTAATAGAATAGCAATAAAATATTTTTAAAAATAAAACACAACAGCACATTTTCAGAAATCCAGAGCCATCCATTTGGAGAGTGGAGAGGGAAAGTTTAAACTGTGTCTATTTTTCTTTTCTTAGCAAGGTTATAAATCATATGTTAAGGGTATGTCTGCAGCATATTGACTAGCTAAGTATTTCAGACACATCTGTTTTGCTAGATCACAAGGAGACAGTCTCTAGGTTAAAAGGTCCAGACTTTGAGTTCAGAACTTCTTCAAGGGGTACATGAGTCGCCTGGGGTCTTGCTGAATGCACATGGGGTTCTGTAGGTCTGGCATGGGCCTGATGCTGTGTTCTGCACAGGCTTCTGGTAACCCGCCCTGGGGCTGGGGCGGGGGGGGGGCGGGGGGGGGGGTGCGGGGGGGCGCTGGGGAGCAGACACATGCTATGAGCTGCAGGCTTCAAAAAAGGCCACAAGGGGGCGCAGCCATTCTCACTTGCCCTGGAAAGGCTCCAGGAGAGAGTGCGTTTTTTTCTCCAGTGTGATGACGAATAGTAACGCCTGTCTTTTGTTTCTAGTGTGGAGAGCAGGCCTGGATTTGCAGCGGTGGAACTGCGGCTGCGAAATTACTACTATGACGTGGTGAACTAAGACTCCTGGGCCAGTTTGTGCAGCTTCTGAGCAAATGAGTCATCACAGGCAAACTTACTACAATGCATGGATTTTGAGTCTCGCCTCCCACTGCCCATCGGGAGAGGCACTCTCACAGGCACTTGCCTGTGACTGTGGTTCCCCAAAACCGGTTCCCCAAAGCCTGTCCTAGAACATACCGTGCATAGACAAACCCACTGGGAGGAGCTGTGTGAGAAAGACGAACGAGAGGGTCAACAGCAACTGTGAATTCCTTTGTGCTTCTTCTGAGTGGTTTTCATGGCAGGTTATTTTCAGGATCTGTTTTTAGCTTTCCTCGCTGTCTTTTCAGTTCTCTGGCTCCTAGACTGCTCTGACCCCCCACAGCCTGGAGATATTGCCTTGTGGTATTCAGCCACTTGTCTTGCATTGTCAGTGCCAAGCAGCCACAGTGATACCTCTGATCCCGGCAGTGAAGGACTGGAAGGGAGAGAAGGAGATTTGTCTTAAACAGGCCTTGTGACTGGCCCTGTCCCTGAAAAGCTTCCCTGATGGTAAAAGTGCCTTGAGGCTTAAAAATCAAGTTCTACCAGTGAGGCTTCTAAGGTGTAGCCAGTTAAAGGAAACGAAGTCTGGATACTGCTTTTGTTCTGTGTGTTTGAACCAGAGTCTTGCACCTGCATGAAAAGTGTGGCCTGCTGGAAGGGTTGGCTTACTGACCCCTTGAAAGCCTCTCTGCCACAGACTCTCTGAAGACCGCCTGACTGGAGAACGTGCAGGGGAAGGGTGTCCGTCGTCTAGAGCATGTGGCAGACAGACAGTAGGGCTCTGTGGGCTGTTGCTGTCATGTAGTTAGTGTGGCCCATGCTTCCTCTCCCTTGAAGAGAGGGTGCAGATAGAATTCCTGTCTTTTTTTGTATTCACAGGGAGACACCCTGGTGGCCAAGGCCATGTAAAGATGAATTTGTGAAGAAAGTATTAATTCATAATAAAGTCTCAGACCCTGATGCTTTCCACAAATAGGCTTAATCGAGTATGATGTAGGGGAGAAGGTACAAAACTCAAGATTTATTTTTTGGTCTCCTAGTCTTAGATAATTCTTAACTAATGTCTGATCTTACACAAGTCATCAGACCACTGATAATCAGTTTTGCTGTGGCTCCTCAAACTCAGAGTTATTTAGACATCATTCTTAGGTCAATCAAGGCATAAACTTGGACCATCTAGAATTCAGCTGTGCCTAAGACAGTTTGAAGTGTACTTCCAGCCCACGAACAGGAGAGGAGGCCCTATACCTAACAGAGGGAAGCTAGACATGAAAGCAGCAGTCAGCATGCTTGCTTGGCCAGAACAAGACATCACTTCTTCACAGAACTTCTGTTAAGAAACTTTTAGAAACCATCCATGCCTTTTAGAAATGTGCTTCCTGGTGGTTTAATAATTTTGTTAAATGGAGATTCCATGTGTGCTGAGCAGATACTCAAAACAGTAGCAGTATACACTTAGAGTCTCCAAAATTAAAAAAGATTAATGACAGCCCTGGCTGCTGTGGCTCAGTGGATTGAGTGCTAGCCTGCAAACCAAAGGGTCACTGGTTCAATTCCCAGTCAGGGCACGTGCCTGGGTTGCAGGCCAAGTCCCAGGTTGCACAAGAGGTAACCACACATTAATATTTCCCTCCTTTTTCTCCCTTCCCCTCTAAAAATAAATAAATAAAATCTTTAAAAAAAGACTAATGACATTCTCTGGTCAGACGACATGTCGATTTAGATCCCTAAAATGAAGTGTTGTACACATCGGTGATGGCATCTGAGAAAATGGATTTACTATTGACTCCTGGTGTCCTCCTTCTTCTGTCCCCGGAGTGTCTGTGGGAAAGGTCACACTGGCAGGAATCTGGGGGCACACACTGAGCTCCCTCCTGCGGGTATTTCCCTCACTCTCCAGCAGCATTCTGCCACTCCCAAAACTCTGGTGATGAAGACCATCTAGAATGTGAGTTGGCAATAGGGAGAAGGGGCCTGGCTCCCCCCAGAAGCCCAGCCTACAAGCTGCAGGTGCCCCTGTCCTCCGTCGTGACTTTCCTGTGTGTAGAATTACCACTGTGGCAGTGTGTAGACGTCTTTCCAGTGAAAATGTGCTTTCTCCAGAGGAGGGCAGAGAGGGAAAGGCAGCTTCACTGGAGAAGGACTTACAATGTGAATGAGCCAACTTTGGAAAAGACTTTGTAGAGGTATCTGGCCTATACTTGATTGTCACATGGGTGCTGCCCTTCTTGTGGCTCTAGCCATGTCTTTACATGGGTCTGGGCTTACTCCATGTGCCTTCACCTTCTAGTCCTTCTTTAGTGGAACCACCAGGGCGTTGTGGACAGACATGCTGCCCTGGCCAGTCCAGCACCAACTGACTGCTGAGGCTATGACTTTGATCCCTAGTGGGATCAAAATTTTTCATAACAGAAACATATTCTATTCTGTGGTTAAAATAATCATGTGTGTTTCTTTGGAGCATGTCCTTCCCCTGTACTTGTTGTCACGAGCCTTGCTTTTATTTGTTGGATGTTGACTTCACATTTACAGCAATCAACCCAAGGACTGTAGCTCCACCCAGATTTTCACACACAGAGTTGACCACTGGATTTTCAGCCCTCACCCCTAACCTCCCAAACAGCACACTAGACCAGTTAAGCAGTATCCTCCTTCTATTTCAGAAGAGCTACTTTTCGTCACTGGAGTTTTTTAAACCTATAATTATTAATAAAATTTTAAGTTGTGATCATTTTCATGGACATTATTGGAATGTGATAGTTCACTCTGTCACATAAACAATGTTAAGTAGCATTGTCAAAGCAGTGTTTGTCTGTTTTTAAATAATTCCCAACTATGTCCTGACATGATGGATGTATGCAGTCCCCTCAGAGCTGGTCTGCCAGCTTCTGCCACCACAAAAGGGAAAGGCTGTTCGAGGAGAGCCCTGGTCACCATGGCTCTCCACTCATGAGCATGGGATCGGCCCAGGAGGGCCTGACGGCTCGTGTTGTACCCTGATGGAAGGTGACTGATGGGACCCAGGAATACCAAAGGGTCCAAAGCAGGACTATAGGTCGTGAGCTTTTCTTTGCTTTGTAAAGATAGCAACAGAGTGCTGGGAGAGTCTGGGAAAGAATTCCAGAGCTTCCATCACCTCCTTTAAAGGAGGTGCACACACACACATGCCCACACACTCACATGTGTACAATAACCACGTGTACACACACACACCACACTGAACCTTATTTCAGAGGACTACCTAAATACCAGGGAGGGGAGTTGTCTTGCCTGGGAGCATGTGCTAGTGGCTATACTCATTTCTCTTCCGCCCACTCTGTGTCTGGCTGCCAACTCCTCCCACCCCATTGGAGGTCCCCTGGCCCCAGCGGGCAGAGTTTTGAAGGAGACCTGGCATACCTGGCCTCACTCCCATTGAGAGCCCTGAAACTGGGACAGCACTGAGATGGGAATGACATGAGCTGCTGGGCAGCCACTTGGTGCACAGCTCCTAGAGCAGTGAGAGCGGGTGTGCGACTTGGAATACAGTAGAGACAGCTGGTACTCCAACACTGATGTGGGCGAGTCACAGGAATTGAGCCGCAATCTGCACAATTGCAGGTGGGGATTATCAACCTGCACTTATAAATATAAGGCTGGGAACAGAAGGTGGGGCTATGTTCTCACAATGTCAGTGGGAGACTCGGTCTGGACCCCAAGGCCACTGGTGGTCTAGCAGGTGGGGATTCTGCAAGCTAGCAGATGGTACCATGAGATGGCTCGGGAGAGGAGCTGACCTTGGAGTTTGGAATGTTCAACCCCTGGGAGAGGCAGAAACCACCACTGTTGTGTACGTGGTGATCACAGGAAGTGGTAAAATAAGGTGGGTTTAGCATACAGTGAGCTCGGGCACAGAGAGATGTTAAGACCGATGCTTGTCTTTCCAAAGTTAGGAGGGGGTCAATACTCATAAACATGTTCTCAGGTATGAGCCCAGGAGAGGCCATCAGGCCCCTGCCCTAGTCCTCCTTTCTGCCCAAAGAGAACCCCAAACACTACCTCACAGGTGTTTTCCAGTGAACGTGAGTCTAGAGGACAGAACAGAGCTGTGCAAGCAATGGGCTCCCTGACCAAATAACTCCAGGTGCCTTTCAATTAGGGCCTCAGTGCCCATTACCCACTAAGAATTCCAGGAGTCTCGCAACAAAGACCTTTGTTCACATTGTGCTACCTTGACATTTGTCTGACCTCTTTGACCACAGAAGCACCATTTTGCTCAATGCCTATAAGCAAGACAGACTGACTTCCTTACACACTGGGACACACCTCACTTAACTGCCCATGAAGGAGAGATCTCTGCATTGGGAAGGATACTGGGAGCTTCTGGGAAGGTAATACTGTCCTGTCCTTGAACTCAGCCAAGGAAACAGATGGAAACTGCTTATCCATTAGCTGAAAATCGAGCACATCAGGTTCTCAGACATTGACTGTTTGCATATTATGTGCCCCACTTCTCTCATGTCCCCACACAAACACACACATACACACAATAAATTTTCCTTTAAAGAAAGAAAATACAATAGCACTGTGACATAGCAGGACCACCAGGGCATTTGTTTCATTAAAAAGAGCTCTTTTTAAGGCCAGTTATTATTTTGTAGTTTTACAATGTTAACCTGGAGGAAGAAAGAGCACTTTTCCAGAGCCACTCTCCCTCAGTCCAGCGGACACCCACTTGGACACTGGCATGGCCAGAGCTGGTTTTGGCTCACTCCACACTCGTCTGCACTCACTCCTGATGCTGCTGCCTGTGGAGACGGCGCTTCCACATGATCACGAGGAGAGCATTCCACCAGCCCACGCACAGGAGACTGTGGGGTGGCAAGGTTTATCTCAGTGGAAATAGAAGACTTCCCCTGGGTTCCAATGTCCCATCTCCATCCATCCCACCATGGAAAAAGTCCAATTTTGTCTTTATCAAGGCTACCATAAAGCCTAGGGTCCAGAGTTTCTGTTTCATGTTACAACTTAGTCCTTTGGAGCCTGCATGGTCTGACAGGCCCCAGGCAGTGCTGCTGCAGCCCCATGGTTGCTATGGAGAGAACATGTAAATGAATGAGGCCAGAATGTATAACTGGCAAGAGAGAAAGGCTTTTGCTTCCTGGAATTATGTTAGGCTTGGAAAGGACCAGGCACTTTTTCAAAATACCCAATCAACTTCTCAAGCTTTCATAGGCTTTCAATGGGTCCACCCCCTACAACAAATCTATTTCCTTCTATGGTCACCATTTTGGGTCCCAATGTCATGTGCTTCCCCCTCTACACCGCTTCCCACAACAGTCCAGCACTAGAGGGTGGGCTGCTCCCTACCTAGGTGAAGGAATGGGTGTTAATCCCCTTGGAGGGACAACGCTTCAGTCCCTTGGGGAGTGTGTGAGGCCGTAGCTTCCTGGTGAAGCAAGCTGGCTCCTTCATATCTGATTCACTTTGCTCCCTTCTTTTATTAGTAACTAGCTACTTCCACTAACAGGGGGGCATCTGCTGACCAAATAATGCTGTCAACCCACGTGTTACTCAGCTGGGGACATTTCCAGGAGCTATTTTTCTTAGGTGTTATTGAACCGAAGTCATGAGTCATAAGACTTCATGCCTTTGCAATCTTTCAGGGCTTTGAATGACTCTGTTTTCCATGACTGTCATTAAACTGTGGAACAATGAGTGAAAAATGCATGTTGTTTGTTACAACTCTTCCTCGTTTATACAAAGACCCAGTGTCTGGAATTGTTTTTGTCTTCACAGCTTGTATCAAATGACATTGTGATTTTCTATAAATCACAGAGGTGTAAACATTCCTTCCCTGCTCAGGGTGCAGAGGAGAGTCCTGGGCCTCATAAGGAGTGAACAACTAAGGAAGCATATCAAGAAAATCATTTTGATAAGTTCAAGTCCTTATCAAGTGGATTGTGCCAAAAGACATGATTTCTTTGGACGATGCAAATCACCTGCATGCAATGCTCAGGAAATTAGTTTTTAATTTCACAATGCAGACTCTCAGAGAACATCGAGGACAGCATCTGCTCCCATGCCGGAAGCTCCTGGTAGAGCATGGCCTCTGGTGCCAAGTGTGCCCCATGGCAGCACACTGCTGTCCTAGAATCTGTCAGCTGCCCAGTTGGCCCCCTTCCCACCACCTCCCCACTTCTGTCTTCTGTCAACATTTCACTGTGAACAAAAAAGAAAACAATATGCTTGATGAAGCCAATCCAATTACCTCAAATGTGTACCTTGTGTGATTATGTGCAGAAAGGAGGTGAACTAACAACACAGCAGACCCTGGCAGATCAGGATCCCAGTGAGCTCCGCTCAACCAGAGATGAACCCAACCTCCTGAGGTGGATGGAGAGCTGAGGAGGTTCCCCTGAGTTAAAGCTCAGCAGTGAACAAATAGGCATTTTAATCAACTATTCTCTGCAATCAAAATATTTAGACATTTGTTTATTCTGGGACATTCTTCTCTTAAAATCAGTAAGATATCTATTCCTTAATGTTCTGCACTTTATACTTGTGCACTAAGTAATGGTCTCCCACAGACTGTTTTCTCATTTAGGGCAAGGGAGTGCCCTAATGTTCCCCTAAGTTCATTGTACTCAGAGCCCCTACTTCTGTGGATTGTAATTTGGAAACACAGGGCCCAATGCCTGGTAAT